TAATTGAATTTATTTCCGGCACCTTTGGCTAGCCGGCATTTATCCAACTACACAACCAGTCGTACCGATGCTTTTCGTCATAGATTATTACGTAATTACGTCATAGTAAATCTTACGTGATGATCATTATTACTTTATTAAACTTTCGCATATTTTGTGGAGTCAAAAGCTATGATTACATTTTGCATAATAATTTCTTAGCTTATTTGAGTCTTATTGAATACTATAAATAGTGTTATTCATTGTAAATAGAGGCAGATTTTTTTTTTACTCAATTGAAATAAATAAAAAATTACTATTGTTACTTGTTCGCTATTAGTAAATATTTAATGCTTACTACGATTGGAAGTTTCTCCGTTGTCGTAACACTAGTTTCGGATTAGAGCTTTCCGAAACTAGTTTCGGGTAGGTTTCGTTTTGAGTACCAACTCTAATATAGACCAAGCCAGGTTGAACTGGACTAACATCCTTAGTTCTAACCTTAATTACTTCCGAATGAGAAAATGAAAAAATGGGATATTGATAAAATGTTTGATAAACAAAATCAGCATATTAAAATACTTCGGGAAGATGAATTTAGAAATATCCAAAAAAATAGGCACCAAACAAAACTTATAGGCGTTAAATTTGGATTAGAAATTTCTCAGCGGATAAACTAAAAACTAATATAATCGAATATTGATTGACAAAATCCCTGTTCAAAAAAATTATATATAACATGTAAAATTTCTAATAATTTACTATCCAACTTACAAATAACTTGCAAATAACTTACAAATAACTTACAAATAACTCACAAATCATTTAGCAATGAATAGACAAACTTTTAAGTGCTTTTTAATCATTTTTATTACCAATATATTAATATTAACTGTTACTGCTCAAGATCAAAGCGTTACAGTAACAGTAACATCTACAACTACCGTTAGTGCAACATGCGAAGTTACAGTCCCACCTACTTGCAGTGGAGCAGCTTCAAAACCACTTGAACTTTCTCCTAGAAATGATCTAGAAAGACATTCTCAAAAAAAGCATAAACGCCAAGATGGATCTGGTCCAACTGCCACTGCCACTTGTTATCATTATTATTTGCAAGCTACGTACTGTCCTTGATGCTGTAATTTAAGCAAGATATTTCCAACAATAATTACTACACTTGAATGCCCTCGGCATAATACTCCTGTTCTCTTTTAGTAAAAAATCTGGGTACTATAATTGGGTTATTCATGTGATAAATTATTTTCTAAAATGTTTATTTGGTTCAATTAATAGTAAAGTACTTATAGTATCTCACTTCTATTAAAGTATTCTCTTTAGTATTCTAATTCAATTAATAGTAAAGTACTTATAGTATCTCACTTCTATTAAAGTATTCTCTTTAGTATTCTAATTAAATATATTATAACACCCTGGGGATTTTACTTTGCAAAAATATGATATTGTTTTATTTTTTATTTTCTACAAAATATATTGCGTGTATTGACCATGATCAACTTTTATAATACTTGAAATATATTAAATACATAATACAAAATACTCCAAGACTACCCCCCTAGGGTTCTACCACAAAATCTCGACATCCAATATCTCAAAACCATGATCCTGACGTGACACTTAATGTTTAAAGATTAGTACATTTTCAGACTAAAGTTTAATTGTTATGTCAGTATTATGTAATTTCAGAGACGTAAAAACTGAAGCCGATGAACTTCAAATGAGAAAATTCTTTGCTGAGATTTTGGATGTCGGGATTTTGTGGTAGAAACCCTCTACCCTTTTTTTGAAATGTCAGATTAGTGAAAATTGCAATGAGATCTTTAGCAAATCTATTCCCTCTAATCTGACTTTAAAAAAATGGGGTAGAGGTAGGGATGGTAAAAAACCATTTTTCACCGATTTAAAACATGTGATGATTATGATTTGATTATATTAAATTTAAACCTCGGCATATCAAAATTATAAGCAACGAATGATTTAAATCGGTGAAAAATGATTTTTTACCATCCCTATGTAGAGGGGATTGTGCTTATTTACGGTAGAATTTGGTCTGTCATATATAACTCACCAGTATGGCTGCGTCAATAGAAATCAAGCAGGTTAATATTTTTAAAAAATTGTCTTAACTTAATTGCTCATATCTAAATAAATTTCGAAACTATTCACATAATTTAATAGTAAAAGAAGCTTAAGATCTAAGCTTTCTTTGACTATTAAATAAATTATATAGATAGCTTCGAAATTCGCAAAGATATGAACAATGAAAATTAAGACATTATATTTTTTTAAAATGTCAATGTGCTTGATTTCTATTGATGGCAGCTCATTTATTTGTGGTGTCATGACGAAAGGCGAAACATAGTTTCGACTTCGCCAAAAAAAAATTAAAAAAACGAAATGGCGAAACTGGCGAAACCTGGTGAAACCTGGTGAAATTGGCGAAATCTGGTGAAACTAACAAAAGGTGGCGAAACTAATAAAAGTTAATTAACGAAAGTTAACTTTTTTTATATAATGATTAATCACTTTGTTTCTACTTATCTGCTTTTAAATTGTTATATTAAAATTATATATATCAAAAATTATACAATTAAATTATATAATTAATATTTTGTATTATTATATTTGTTGTAATATGTAGCGTTATTAGGCGAAACTTAAGAGTTTGCCACAGACGAAAAGCGAAACTTGTTTCAATTTTCGTCAAAAAAAAATTAAAATGGTGAAATGACGAAACTTGCGAAAGCTGACGAAACTGGCGAAACTGGTGAAATTGCTGAAAGGTAGCGTAATTTAAAAAAGGTAGCGAAACTGATTAAAGATGATAAAATTAATAAAAGAAGCAAGAATAGAAAGGTAATTAAAGCAAATTAAAACTCTTTTATGTGATTATCTATTTTAAACTATCAGTAAAATAAAAGAACCAAAATTATGTTTTTTGTTAAAAAAAATTAGAATTATAGAGTCAAAAAATATTTTTTAGATTAGAAAAATAAGTAATAACAGTTAAAACTGTATTTATAAATAATTTCAAAATAGATACAATTATTACTTTAAGCATAGATTCTTACCCAACCTAATATTTAATTTTAATTTGACATACAACATGTGCATAATTATGATATCAAATATGGTGTTTTTTGATCAATAGTTAAAATTTTACTACATTTGATATAATATAAGTCAATAACATAATTGCTTAAAGATTTAGAATAGATAAAATAAAACATCAGGAAATAATTGCCAGTAATAATATTGTTAATGAACTACTTACTTATGTATAGCATTTAATTAAAGTTTTAATAATAAAATATTAAAAAAAAAAATTTAACAATATAACAATAAATTTATTTAAATATTTAGATAGGTTGTTTTATTAAACATAAATTACTAAAAAAATGCAAGATTTCAGGTTTTGAATTTTCAAGGCTGAATTGATTTAATTATATAAGTTTAAAAATCTAAATTCTAGTTTTTTTTAATAGTACTTGAATACAAACAAAATATTATCATTTTTTATTGCTTTTGTGCATTTGAGCTACATGCTGTATTTAATAGCTATGCGCAAAATATTTTAATTCATTAACATGACTCAATCTTTTAAAGTCTTTGAGGATTTGGTATTTGTTGAGTTTTGACTTTTTCCAGGGTTTCAACTTTACCAGTATTTTACTAGAGTTTTGTAATTTTACCAAGTTTTGCCAGTTTTGCCAGGTTTCATCTGTTTTGCCAGATTTTGCCAGTTTTGCTAGATTTTGCTGAGAAGTTTTGTCTTTTGTTTTTTTGCCAAATTTAGATTTCATCTTTTGTTATTTTTCAAATAGTTTTGTCTAACAACATTAATATCAACAAAGGTTTATAAATTATCAAAAAAATTCTAATCTCTAATAAATAAGTAGATATATTCTGATTTTAGTAGATAAGTTTGTAATTTGAGATTTTAATAGTAGGTAAGTTTGTAATTTTAATAATAAATATATTACTAATTTTAACTATATATAATTAAGTGATTCAAAAAATAATAGGAGTATTGACTATTTTAGATTATATTTAATTTTATAAATATAATAATAAATTTTTATAACAAGGGTGTGGTAACTTAGTAAAGTGATGAAGTTGTTATACTCCAAGTATCACATCTAGAGTTCAAATATCACTAGTAACAAAATTTGAATATTTGTTATGTGTATTATAGATACTATCTCTTGTTAATCAGTTAGATTGTAGATTTGTTACTAAAATTATATCAAGTATTAATAATACTTGAAAAGAATATTGGATATTTATATAATGTATAAGTTATATGAAAGCATACAAACTGGTATTAGTTAGTGTAAACTTATAATAAGTTTAAGAAACTATAAAGCTAGTAAAGATATAAAGAAAATAATATTAGCAGAGGTAAAAGGCTACAAGTACTTATTCTCAGACCCAGCATAAGTTACTAAAAATCTAGATAATATATATGTAGAATGTGAACTGCTTTAGTAGATTTACTACAAGATCAAAGAGCCTTTATATAGTAGTATATATTTGCTTTAAAGCTCTAAAAGTTCTTAGTGATAGGTTTTTTTAGAATAAAATTCAATAGCATAAAGTTGATCAGAGAGTTTAAATAGAAAACAAATTTTAGATATAGTAATTAGTAGATAACTATAGATAGAAATAGATATAGCAGAGCTTTTAAATAGGTAATAACTAAAGTTGTACATATAGTTAATTGTACTCTTGTAATATAATAATCATTGTAACTATATTAATATTAATCTAAAATTTAATAAACCAAACCAAACTTTCAAGTGATTATCTTAATATTTAAAAAAGAAAATTTCTTAATTTACACCAGATATATATACACACATACTAATTTATTGATTTACAAATTTGTGTAATATATAAATTATAAACAAAAAATTGGTTAGCTTAAGGTTAGGGTAAGAGTAGCTTTAGGGTTAAAGAAGGTTATAGTTTATACTAAAATTTTGTAAAGAATATTTTTTGTTAGAACCCTAAAAGCTATTATATAATCAGAATTTTAAGATATCAAATATGTGTGTATATACACCTAGTATACAAATAGCAATCATCTTTAAAAAAATAATTTTTTATAATATAACAGATTATAAAATAATATTTTATTATTAGCATATTTCAATACTGTTTATTAGTAGATAAGCAAGTAATTTAGTAATGAGCTATTAATAATTTGTTATAGTTAATAGATAATAATTTAGCAGAGAGTAGTTTAATTTTAGCAACAAGTTGATATCAAGTTTAGTAGTGAATAATATTTTTTAACAGGAAATAAATTAATAATTAATAGTAGATATATTATTGACTCCAAAAGTAGATTTTAAATTAAATGAGTTTATAGATTAAATAAATAATAAATTTAGTAGTAAACCAAATTTGATAAACTTTTTTTTAAATTCTATAAATCTATAAATTTAAAAAAAAGTTTATTACCATATTTTCACATAATAATACATACTCGCATATTATTTTGAGTACCTGTGCATTATTTTAGAATATATATATGTTATATTTCAAATTAATATTGCCAATAATTTAATAAACATGTGTACTATACTTATATTTATTGTGCAAGCTTTTATGGTAAGCATTATTTCAGAATGCATATGTGTATTATTTTGAGTCAAATAGAAGATTTTAAAAGTTGCAATTTTGAAATAATGCATATATACATTATTATATGCAAAAATGGTAAATTTGGCTTGGTAGTTATATAGATATTTTTGCTCAAAGTTTAAAAAAAGTTAAATTTGCAAGAGGTACAAATAATAAATTTTAAAAGTATAAAAAATAATTCTCTACAAATAAATAGTTAATAAATATTTTTATTGATATACTTATTTATTATATTTAATAAAATTAATAATACTACTTTTGGCAAAGTTCTATTTATAATATATAATAATATAAAACAAATTAGAAATTACAAATAATTTGTTAAAAATATTAGCTATACTAGATTTAATTTATAAAAATTTTTATAAAATAATTTAAAAAATTTAAACTTTAATAATTATTTACTTGATTTTAAATAAGCAAAAATGTTAACAGAGATTTTATATAAAAATACTATTTTTTTAGTA